ATTGAACATGATACGATGGTGATGTCTCATTATTGTTATTATTATTATTGTTGTTGTTTTCTTCGTTTAAAACATAATCATCAATAATTGATTTTAAATTAATTTCTATTTGTCCTATATCTCTATTACCGAAACGACGTGTTGGAGCATGAATTTTAAAATTAATTTTTGAATTTAATGTAACAAGTGTATTAAATGATTCATTAATTAATATAATTGGATTTGTTGTTGTTGTTGTTGTATTAGATTTACTCTTTTTATGAATTATTTCAGTACGATATGGATATTTATTATCAATTTCCATAATAACACATATATCAACTAATTTAGTTGATGAGGGTAAACGTATAGAACAAATTTTAACACGTAATTGAGATAGAGATTCTGGTTGATGAGTATCAGATGGTGATTGAAACATTTCTGACATTTTTTATTTCTTCTGTTTTAGTGAGACTAAGTTATCATATCAGATCAGATAAAATAAATTTAATAGAAATCAACTGCTTTATTTGTTTCAATAAGAACATATCTTTGAATATATTTCTGTTTGAAACCTAATAAATGACGATCAAAAGAAAAGAAAAAAAAAGAAATATGACAATACCACGCACGTGTTTACTTTTTTATTCATTTGTCTATTTGATAACCAATAGAATTGCGAGAATCATTACATGCATAAATGCAAGTATAAACATTGAAATATGATATATTAAAAAATCATGTTTTATGTGATCTTATTAGTTTATATATATATTTATATTATGATGTTATTACTTCATCAAGTCATGACAATGGAAAATAATCGTTTGTCTTATTTATCAAGCAAGAAATTATATAACAAATATAAAACTCAAAATTTATAAACATATACTCTTATCCAATGTTATACATTAATAATACATGTACTTGTCATTAGCCTACGCGTACAGTGAGGATAGCGCTTTCAATGACACATATACCAAGCAGAAGAAAAACGTACAGATCATCTGCTACTTCTGAAATACATGCTATTTCATGCGTTACTCAGAAAAGTAGAGGATACTATGTACACTTTGATGAAGAAATTGACATTTTGATTCCGAAATACTAGCGATTGTATGTAGTATTACATTTAAGATTATGTTTAGATGATAGTAGATTACGACTTCTCTCCTTCTGTCTCAATTTCTGTTTACGCAGATAGTTTTTGTTTTGTTTTATATTATGAAAGAACCTGATTTTTGTACACTTTGATGCGCTTTGCTAACGAAAAGAAAATGTGACCATACACGTTGTTTTGTATGAGCAAAGAGTAAAAGCAAACATTTCGTTCTTGATTTCTATTGGAAGCGCTAAGTAAGGATACTATATAGTTGTTTATATAGGAGTTAGTTTTGGTGTAGCCTACTGTTAAAATTCTACACTTATGGGTTACTATTCATTTCACATTCGTATTTCCATAGTTACGAAATGTCTTCAAATGCATTACGGTCAGATAATCGATAGAGAGTAGAAAAACACAAGTATTTTACAAAAATTTGAATGAAAAACTGTGGAATATATTGTTCAATTTAAGGTTATTATTATTGTATGGTTTGACATATAAATAGAACTAAATGTATCCTTGTTTTATAAATATGAAAACTCTGAAGAGTACAAAGTTCTATGACGTTAATTGAAAACCGAAAAGATTAAAATTTAATTGTAGAAAAAGTCAAAACACATGTCAATGTTTATGTAAATAATCAATCAACAGATTATAGATTTTATATGATTTTCTTAAATGTGAAATAGAATACTTTTTATTTTACTATTCAGTTGTCTTTTATGTTCTAAAATAAGTGTGAAAAGATATTATACTGTTGTACACATTTTTTTTACATTCGCACTTAATAACCAAAAATTACAGCATAGAAAACAATAACGACCGAGTTGTATTACCTACGTGATATATATACTGCATTGCACTGTACTATTACACATAATATAATTCATCATCTGAATCCTTTTCATTGAATAATAAAAGGATAAAATTCACTCGAATTACTGTGATTAGTGCTCGTTCTACTATGAATGGTCATATATCACTATTAATTTGTTGAGCATAGTCGTTCACTATCTCTATATAATGCTAATGTAAAAAGTGTTTATTTCTTTTTTTAACTGGTGATATTAATATAATTGAGATTTTCATGTCAGGCGAGACACTTTCCGACATATCAATGTTTTTTGTCATCTTCTTTGACATCATTGCATAACGTATATCAAAATTCTTTCCTCTTATTCTCTCACGTAGTTCTAACAGAAATGTACATATTAACAAGGAAGCAGCAACGAATTTCTTACGGTATTTGTAATCAAACGGACAAGTTCTATTGAATTATATATTTCAAGAAGCATAGTGGAAGAATGAAATTTGCTCCATTTTTTTTATTACTTGACTCACATTGCTGCATCTATATGTCTTAAATTGACTTAATAACTTTATGAAACTATTCAAAGATGGGCGTCTATAATGGACTTCTCTCAAAGGGAATAATGAAAAATGTGATTGATTGATTGTATTATTGATTTCATTTTATATCATAATTTAAAAGGTAGACGTGATTTAATATATTACCTATAGTAAAAGCAATGGTAAAGAATAACTAATAAATTGATATATATATATATAATTTGAATGATTAATAAAAGAATTATTTTATTGTCTTTTTATTCATATTATAAATGACATAATTAAAAACGCATTTCTTTTTAATCTTCAATTTTCATAGTATATTTCGTATGAGAATAAATTTCTTGAATACTAGAGCGAAAGTGAAATAGTTTAGACAAATCACTAGAAATGGTTCGACTTATCGCTGTAATCGTCAATGATTAATTGTGTTACGTCTTTATAGATAAAATCTTTTACATGACAACTGAAGAGAGAACTTCAATAAATATTATACTTATCTGACATAAGTATAATATGATAAGATAAAAATATCAACACATTTTATTCATAATTTTTTTCAATACGTGATAAAAAATAAATCTTTTTTTCGACAAATTTAGATACTATATGATACATATAATAGAATTTTAGTTGAAAAGAATCTGAATTGAAAAATAAAAAAAAAATTTCAGTTTGTTTTTAGCTAAGTATTGTTTAAAAATTATTAAAATACTTCGTAACATATCTAAGAAATATATAACAAGTTCTTTTTCTTCAAAGTAAAACTAAGTTCATTAATAATGAAGATTTTAATTTACAAGAAACACAAATCATGGAAACCTTCACATTGTGATATTTATTAACTTTGATAGAATACTTCTGTTAAGTGCAAAATGCACTTATAATACAGCGGTGAAAAATAAAATATTTGTACAAAACAGATTACAAAATCAGAAATACAAATGTACAACTTTGTCTGTTTCTAAATAAATCATTCTCATTTACGAATATTCATTAAATGCATACACCAGATAAATACATTCCGTGACTTAAAAATAATTGCAGATGATTCGTATCGAACTCACAGTTTTTACCAGTATGGTTAGTCCCGATAATACTTTTGATCGTTTTGTATATCTTCAAAAATCAATACATAATTCTTTTTATCGATTCCATATTGGTAAATCTGGTTTATATTAATTTTAGGCTCTCTTCAGCTACAATCATTGCTTGTTCCATAGATCGGTCCAGTAGATCAAGTCTTTTTCTTCTTGCATTAGAATATATGTTAAGTTACTGATCTGTACCATTCCATTATTTTGTGTAGAAAGTCATCTATGGAGTTATAAACTTTGTGTTGTGATATGAATCAGAGTAATTAGTCTTTTTTGGCTTCGCTTTCATTTACGTACTTTTTTCTTTCTTGAGATTCAACTTATTTATGGTATATGATCTAATTAGAGTATGCAATAGGCTAGCTCAGCTACCTTTTTGTCTTAATACACTCTGATTAATGCAATAATCTTTATTACACTCATGATTGCATTTAGCATTCAAAAATTAATAAATATAAAACAAGCTGATGGAAATTATTGATACTCATGAAATCGTTGTAATATTGCACTGCTATTAGTTAGATTCGAGATATATATTTTTGTCTTCGGTTATGCAACAATTAAAAACTATAATATAAAACATTCAAGTGAATTAATAATTGAACAGTTCGTATAGTATATCGTGATGTTTTGCTGCTTCATTCAAGTCACCACATTTCTACAGATAAATCCAATTAAAACCCGTTTTTCAGTTGCATTCAGACGAGCCATGAACAAAATAGAAGGTAAGAAAAACAGAAGAGGTCAAAAAGATGTATATGTTTTACTCAGACAACAAACAGTAGCACAATCGGTATGAGAGTAATGGCGAGGGATTTCATCAACGCAACTGCTATCCAGCTGATATAAAGTAGCAAACAGAGAAAACAGGAAAATTAGTTGTCAAAAACGTTTTGTCTAGAAAATGATATTGCATCTAAATATAATATTTTACATCATTTTTTGGTAGGACTGTTGTTTGCACGACATATTATTCTTGAAGTATTCTAAAGAAGCATCGAGACTGGATGGGTGACGATGAATATGGGTGAATGTAAGTGTATATATGATTGATGGTACATAAAAGACTTTCATTCACATCGACATCCACGCCTAACTCCACTCACAATCACCCTTTTTGAAAACTTTTTCTGATTTTCTACGAAGAGTTTCGGAGTCGTTTGAGTCTATTCTATTTTCCTATCAAATTATGTGAATTCATAACTGATACAACAAAACAATATAGTTTTATTAAAAAACGGTCGGTATTGAGTTAGTACCAAACCATAATTTTACTATATTTCTGAATCCACAACATTCATGGAAAGTTCTAAAAAACAACTGATAGAATTTATATAATTGTATACTAATAATGTTCTATTTGGATTAACATCGGTGGGATTTGTTGGAATTTGAAAAGTTGTATCTTTGTTAATATATATATTTATATTGTCCTTACTACACTAATATCTTCACTTTTTATGGTTTAATTAACCATTGGTAGCCTGAATATTGCCTAAATCACACCAGCCGTTGACAGGAAGACAACTAAGATATTTGCATCCGTCACATTTTATTCTTCCTGAATAAAAACTTTCTGTGAAGAGTACGAATATGGTAATCGCAGCAGCAAGTGCAATGAATCTTACTAACCACCATGCCCACCATTTCTTCTGTCGATTGTAAAATAATTTTTGATACCATGGTCGATTTTTCCATTCGTTCGTGTTGCGTCTAGACAGTTTTGGCCTTTTGTGCCGTCGGAAATTTACTGGTGAACCGAGTATACCCAAACCTAATAATAATCCCATAACGAAGCCACCAACATGACTGAAATTATCGATACCAGGCAACAATCCTAATACAAAATTGACAATAATATCGATCAAGTGAATAGTAAGTTGTATTTTTGGACGTTTTGTTTTCTTCCAATAATAAAGTAAATCAAGAAATGATAGTGCAATGGTTGAGAATAATGAACCACTGCATCCAACTCTACAAAGTCCATTCGGTGCAAAATTGCCTCCAAGTATAAAACCAAAAATACCTGACGCAAAATAAATAAAAGCTATGCGAAGTATACCGATTTTTTTCTCTATTTCTCCTGCGATCATAAGTTGACCAAGTAAATTAAAAATAATATGAACGATACCAACATGCAAAAATATCGGTATAATAAAGCGATACCATTGATTAGGTGTACTTGAAACACCATTATAACCGCATAAGTCACTAAGAGTACATCCAGTATATGTCAATGTTGCACTATTTGGACAAGGAAAACTGGTTGAACTAACATTATTTGTGATACCATCAATTGCATGCATACAAGGAGAAAAGCTAGCACCAATATTGATTAGAACATATGGATTTGGTCCAAATAAAGGATTGAGAGAAAGATTTGTTTCAATAGGACGAGTAGTCAATAGCGAGTTATATATAATCTCGAATATGAAAACACACAATTGTATGATAGACATAATCCAAATAAACCATGGACGACGTTGTTTTTCATTTTCTTCGGATATTGAACCAATGGTGAGTTCACTTTGAAACGTATATGTTGAAGTTGAACGATAATATTGATTTGAATTCGAATTATTGTTCGTTGTTGTATTTATTTCTTCGACAGGCGTTTGTGGCTTCAATGTTTTTTTTAGATTTGGTACTGTTGACCATTGATCAAAGTCACTTCGTGACCTACTATCTGAATAAGACCAATCGCATATTTTGGGTTTGGCGTTATTTGAATACGCATTGTTGTTTGTTATTGTATTCATTTTTACAACAGAAGTTTGTTCTTGCAATGTATTTTCTAAATTCGATACTGTTGACCATTGATCAAAGTTACTTTGGGACCTATTTTCTGGATCGGACCAATCACTTATATTCTGCTTGTTCCGATTGGAATTGGATTTATTGTTTGTTGTTACATTTATTTTTATGACAGGCGTTCGTTGCGGCAATGTATTTTCTAGATCCGGTACTGCTGACCTTTGATGAGAGTTACTTTGGGGCCTATTTTCTGGCTCAGACCAATCACTTATATTCTGCTTGTTCCGATTGGAATTGGAATTATTGTTTGTTGTTGCATTTATTTTTATGACAGGCGTTTGTTGCTGCAATGTATCTTCTAGATTCGGTACTGCTGACCATTGATCATAGTCACCTCGTGACCTATTATCTGGATAAGACCAATTATTTATATTCTGCTTGGTCTGGCTGGAATTTACATGGAAATCTGACGAGTGTGCATATTCATTCACGTTTAGTACAAGTTCTCCACTCATTGTATGAGATTATAAAGAACTATTTTCTACAATAGAAAAAGAAATGAAAAGAAAATGTTTTAATCCGTATCTAAACATTGCTTTACGAAAAATAATAATAAAAATCTTAATGATCTGTTTCGAATTGTTTCTAACATATTCTAATTAACAGTAACTAAATGTGTTTTTCCTCAAAATCTAGGCTTTTCAAGTGCCTAAAAGAGAAGTCCTGACAACATATAATAAAAAGACTTCATCTTCATTATTTTGCATACCCTCGCAAATATTGAACCTGAGTTTCAAGATCGATTTAGTTCAAAAGAGGAATCGAGATATGTAATAAAATCTATGCTTCACATGTCAGGATTCATGGCGTAGGTACTAGTACAATGGTCTAAAAGTTACCGATACTTGTAGAATCCATGGTACAAAATGAACTCAGCAAAACGACATGTATGATCGATAAACAGTTTCAGATAGTAAGATTTACGGAAATCTTGAGGGATTTTCAATTTTTTTGGAAACATCTGCCAGTTTCCGAAAATGTTACCCTCTGGAACATATTAAAGGTTTCCGAATTTTCGAAAACTTATTTTCAAGTTGGAAGAACTTTTGAAATGTTTTCAAGATCATTTCGGAAGTCTTCCCGACACGAATGAATCCGGAAACCCATTTTTGCGGTTTTATACAATACGGAATTCTTTTTAGATTACATTTAAGTTTTATTGATTTATGCGATATTATGCACTTGCTGATGGATTTTGGGCTCTGCGGAGTTTTCCCCAAAGCGACATGATCATTAAATGGTGGATGATTTCAGACTGCTTGCTTCGGTCGGTAAAGAGACCTTATTTCTCAAGAATTTCACCAGAAGGAAGTTTTAGAGATTGGCTGTGTGTCCCGCTAAGACAGTTCGCTGGTAGGAGAAAAAATGCTGCTCTACTGGTTCGATTTCGCGATCAGGTACGTAGTTTTCTGCTTACTAACAGACATTTACGGTGCGGCTCAAAGATATCTTTCGTTTCCCACACATTGTGCGCTTTATTAAAAGTATTTCCGCTTTCGATGTCATTTATCTTAAAGCTTTTGAGTCATGGCGCCAAGGTCAGCAGAATTTCATAGTATGGATATGTGGCATTCATTGATGCATTGAGGTGGTTACCTCAAAAGCATTTGAAATCCTTGGGTCTTTGGTTCTACTTCATAACAAGAGTGTGGGTGAAGTGAATATTCACATCCACGCTCGTTTAAACACATCTGGGTTTCTAAACTCAGTTTTTTCAGTTGCAAAAAAGCCACCTAAAACACCATTTGAACGTGTTTCTTCTTTTTAATCAATGCTATTCAAGTCGAAGAAGACAGCGCGGTAAACGGTATCAATCGGTAACAGCCAGTGCAATCATCTTGCCATAATCTGTCATCTCCTAAAACGGTAGAAATACTGGGGAAAAGAATGACCATTGTACAACAAAAAGAAAACGGCTGTTAAAACAGGGTGAAGGGAGTTACAGAGAAATGCTGCATAAATTTTCACGGTATTGCGCCATAATCTGTCATATTGTTTTACCAATCAGTTCTTTTTTACTAGAAAACGGTTATCATTTTTCCCAGTATTACTTCGGTTTCCAGATATGACGGATCACGGCGCTATGTTCTTGGATCTAGATTAACAAAATTACTAGCGATTCATAGTTAAGTTGTTACTTTGATCATACTTTGAATTATTACAGAAAAAGAGTTGATTTTAAAAGAAAAAAGTGACGCACAGGTGTCTATTGCTTTCACAATACTTTACTCAAATTTTAGTGCAGATTCTTGTTCTTTTGCTACTAACCTTTTGCATTAACTGTCAAGAAATGTTTAGTGCTTTCTTACGAATAAAAGCTCGAATATATATATATATATATTTATAAACAATTTGTTCGATAAACAATGCACTTTAACATACAGTGTTATTCATTTTCTCGAAATATAATTTATGAGTAATACCCAAAACAACCATCTCGCACTTTGATTGCCTCCTTTTTCATTTCTTTGTATCACTTATTCTACTCTACTGCTTCAAAAATCAATTTAATTAATTGTACAAATATTTATCTGTTCCAGTTTCTTTTATGTCCTTTATCTCTATTTGACGAAGCTGTAATGGCATAATGAAATCGAGTCGTGAAAAAGACAGGCATGCAGTATTTTCAATTGGATGAATGCTTTTACAAAAAATTTTGCTTTTCTTTACTTGTAAACCAAAAAGTTCCTTTCGGCGAATGCCACCTGTTCTCTCACAACCTTCAAAACTATCTATCTAGTACGTGACGCTCATAGAAATCAATGATCAATATACAAATCTCTGAAAAATGTTGAGTTTTACCTAAGAAAAATTCAGACATGTTAACAGAAGAAAAAAAGCTTGTTAGCGCAGCCCCTTTGGGGCTGAAATGTGGAACTCACATATATACTCTAGCCTTATTAAACTAATACAAAACACGTAAAGTGATAAATCTCTAGTAGACTATAGCTGTCTTGCAGGGTGATCGATGTCTAGAATAATGACTTCTCTAATTTCTCCATTTCGAACAGAATTTTTTCATTTTTCTCTACCAGCGCCCTATTTTTTTGTTTGCATTGTTGCTATTCGCTCATTATTTTTAATTTCTTTTTAATTCGTTTTTCTTAATTTATCATTTTTATTATTATAATCATTGAATTGATTGACAAATAAGTGTGTTTTACATATCTATGATATCTACAGAAGATCTTAAACACTATCATATATATTAATCAAGTCACAAATAATGATATTCATTATTTTTCAAAATTATAACTTGATCAATTTTCAAAAGAAAAACACTCGAAAATCTGATACCTTTTATTATTGGTTGCTAAGATCTGTATTGGGGGGGGGGGGGTCTGTAATAGGGGCTTACATTGCTAAGTGCCTGTAATGGAGAGGGGGCAGCCGCGAAAATTTGACCTTAAAACTTACACTCACTATTTTCTTCGAAAATATATGTGAGTTCCACAAAAGATTAGTAGAAACTTAATCTGATAAAAACACTTTGTGTATCTATATGTGTTTAGTGTTAGAAATATCAGATCATATAGACCCACATGTCACAACTGTTTAGATGCAAGACAGGCTGTTGTGGATTACTCGTTGCAAAAAGTGCATCGCATGTAAAAACAGTTGCAAAAAAACGATTGTAAAATATAGAAAATACCTTAGTCTCTAAAATTAAATGAAATCTGAAATGAACAATAATTGACTCATTTACAAAACTCACAAAGCGGCTTCGCTACTATCTCAAGTAAAAAATTCCTATACTGAGTTCCAGGGAGTTTTCGACAGGAACAAGCAGAATGATCCCAGTAAATAATCAGATTGAACAGCATTGATAGGATGCTCGTGACAGCAGCCATTCGTGCTCTTTTCTGGGTGTTAGCCGTCGAAAAAAGAAAAAACCAGCCATAGAATCTGGGCATATTTTTTCTCATTCCAAGATCTGGCCACCTTTGGCAATGATGACAGTCGTCATGGCAGTCGAAAACAGTACCTTATGCTGTTGCTTCGAACAATTTGTGGGCGTAAATAGCTGTAAATTGACGTTTAGTAGGTGCAGTATTACGGTCTTATCTCATCGCCCTGTACGCAGTTTATATACGATCATTAACAATACAATGAAATAAGATCCTAATATAGTGCGCACCAAACGGCGAAAAAACTGTCTGAAGCGATCGTTTACCGTCGTGCCTATAAACCAACTGTAATTGAGCAGAGCCGACCAGCGGATCTGGTCACCTAATTGATGCTCTCAAGCCCCCATCGCTTCCCTGAATTTTTTGGCGGAAAATGGCGTCTTTCCGGTGGGAAACTTCCGAAAATTCACGAATCCAAGCGCCAGAATCATTGGCCTGGATTGGCTTATTAGAAGTTTTACAGAAGAGCTTTCTCGAATTGGCAAGATGCCACTAAACGTTCACCGATATTCGCGAAAGTCCATCGAACTCTAGCCAATTTATATATCACTTCGGTATTAACTAGAGAGATTAGTATCAAATATTTTTATTGACTATGTTCGTCTATGTCATAATCGTAAATTTTTTCTATGGTTACAAATTTTTATAGGATCATTCTATTCCAAAAATAGCTGTGTAATAGCTATTGTAAAGCACGACACCGTCAATATATAATTAAATCAATCTTGTAGTAAGAGATTTGTTTCACATATTTTATGTTTTGAAATATTTCAGCTAATCATTATTGGCTAAATATCTGTCATGAACAATGTTGCAACATTATAACTCTAGATATCCACTTAATCGAACAATATCAGCTTCTGCACCCACGAACGCATTTACTACATAGTAATAATAGCTCGAAAAGATCTATCGAAAAAACAAATAATGTTTCAAAAATCAGATTTGTCGTATTTATTGTAAAATTTATCATGGATTTGTGATGGAATTATGCTTGATGGATGATTTTCAACTTATCTTATTCTCGCTTTTTTTCTATAACTTATTTTTTTTTGTCTTTTTGATCCTTGCATCTAGAGATGTTAGCCGTCGATTTCTCGCCGTCGCCGCCGCCGAGAAAATTTTCGTCCGCCGCCGCCGAAGAGGACATTGCGGCGAGGAATTTTTCGCCGTCGCCGTCGGTTGAATTAGAATGTATAGTTTAAATTTTTTCCCTTTCTAAATAACCAATTAGGCGACAGAAGGAAAAGGTATGAAATATATAAATAGTTGCGTTCGCATTTCACATTCATTCATTCACTTAACTGATATTGTTGCAAAGATTGTATTATATCTGGCATCTGAAGCAAAACAAGTTACTCTGCTTATCTCCAAACTATTGGAAAGTCCAAAGAGAAGTTGCTTCAGTCGATGATTGGACGATTCAAATTGAATAATAATCAAGTTCTAACAATGTCTCCTAACAAAAAGGTGATGACAAATGATTCTTCTACTTTAGCGTCGCCCAATGCTTGTGTATCATCAACATAATGCTCATAAACGTAGAC